CCGGGCGTTTAGCGGCTGAGCTTGGGGCATGGCGTAGCTGCTGGGCCCGCGATGGAGCTGGGGCGGCTGGAGTACCTGCAGGCCCTGGTCACCGAGTTCCAGGTGACGGAGAGCGCAGGTAACCCCCGGCACTGCTGCCCGCTATACTGCTCATGTTAGAGCGCGTTTCCTCACACACCTCATGCTTCTCCGTTGCAGAGGCCAAGGAGCAGGTACTGGCGAACCTGGCCAACTTCGCCTACGATCCCAAAAACTACGAGTACCTCCGGCAGCTTCAGGTGCTGGATCTGTTCCTTGACACGCTCACCGAAGACAACGAGAGCCTCGTGGAGTTTGCGATTGGTAAGGACCGCACCTGAACACCCTCGTAAGGGGCTGACGGGCCAGGGGATGCCGGGCCTGGTGTTTTGGTTTGGTGGTTAATGTCCCCCCACCCCCCCACCCCGAGAGGCAGATAGTCGTGCTGCAAGAACAGCCCCACGCTGTGCCGATATGGCCCCGTTTAGGGGAGGATGAGTGGAATGAGGAGAGAGGTAGGAGGGAGGCATCTCCCCTTCGTCCTAATGGAGCTGCTGTGCTTGAAGAAGATGCTGTTTGGAAAGGATCCCCCCCCCCAAGCATAAGTTAGCACTAGCTGAATGGATTTTTAATGACATCTCTCCTACAGAGAAGCAGTCATTAATTCGTAAATTTCGCCCTGTATAATGTACAGGTCCAATGTTATCATTCTGCTATTGACAAACAGCCTTCTAGAATACTTCCTTGAAACGCTTTAATAAAGTTCTCTGAGGAGCTGCCTTATGGTGATTTGTCATGGCCTGAACATAAGCTAAGGGGCCAGATCCTAATTGTGAGTGATTCCACAAGATGATAATAAATATATTTGATTTTTAAGGTTTGTGGCTGCGCTATGCCAGGGTATGGCTGCACCTTAAGATTTCAAGTACAGATGTTCTGTACCTCTTGGCTAGTGCTGTTTTCTCTGTTCTCAAAAACATCTGCAGTGAACTGCTGCCTTGTAGCTTCCGTTAGGGTTAAGTGATACGGGAATTCTTTATTCTGTGGAAGAGGTTATGTCCAGCAGTAACAGTGCCCTCTAATGACATACAGGAGGAGGAATGTTCTGGTGGAAAGTCTCTGGAAAGAATCAAGAAAACATTGCCCAGGAGGCCGTTAAGAATTTTTCCATCCAAATCTGACAGAAAATCTGGATGCTTATTTCTGTATTAGAAAAAATGAATCAGCAGTGAATTTGAATGAAAAAGATGAGGGAGCGGAGAGAAGAGTTTGTCTTGCACGTGTCGGACATTTTCTTTTGTTTCAGGCGGTCTTTGTAACTTGTGCCTGGATAAAACTAACAAAGACTACATCTTGGAGGCAAATGGGATAGAGCCTGTAATCAACTGCCTCTCCAGCTCCAACGAGGAGACGGTCATGTCAGCAGTCACGACGCTGATGTACCTGACAACACCGCAGTCACGCCAGCAGACCACGGCTCTCCCAGTGGTGGAGTGCATGCTTCGCTTCTCTCTCTCAGCCAACAGGAGGTTAAGCAATCTGGCAACTGTCTTCCTGGAGGATTACTGCACACCGCTGCAAGTGGAAGAGGCCAGGAATCTCAGCAAACACACAGCGGTGGGGATTCCTCTCCCCAAGGACTGAAGCTGCCAGAGCAGCGGAGCTGTTGAGAGGGAGACCTTCTGTTTTGCCAGGCCTCCACTTTCTGCTCAGCGGGTCAAGAATGTGTCAAGAATGACACTAAAGAGGGAAATGGGTCATACCAGCACTGGATTGTAGTTAGTAAAGAGAATGGTACCACACTGCCATGTCAGTCAGGTCAAGCACGCAGCTTAAACTGCAAGCAAATATTTAAAATAAAACAGGTCATGGCTGTTGGAAAGCAGGTTGCCAAGTGTAGCCCAGGACCCAGCTTGCACAGATAACCCTTCCCAGCAATTAGGGGGGTTTCTGCTTGGGTTACTGGGTAGCTTATATCCCCTCCAGTTCCTGGCTGGTTTTGCTGCAGCTCTCCTCTTCAGTGTCAACTCAAATGACTGAAATGTCACATAAACTTTATTCCTCCTGCAGAAGAAAGAAGGTGTTTCCCTGCCCTGGCATTTTGCAATCTTACTGCATCCCGTTGCTACTAAACGTGCCATCCTATCGTCACGGCATAGGCACCCGCCTAGTAAATCACTACTCCGGGCAGGTTGTAGCTATCCTATAAATCAGGAAGGATAAACTTTTTTTTTCTTTCATTACCACTGGTGAGAAAGGTGAAGGTTTAAAAAAAAAAAAAAAAGCCCATGGCAGTCTGGCTCATGAGAACAGCTGTCTTGTAAAACCTTCTCTTAATAAAACATTAACTTAAATGCTGTGTAAACAGTTTTGTATAAGTTCATAAATATTTCTCTACAGCACTTGCAGCCCAGCCTTCGCCCACTCTTACTCATGCTCATGGGCCAGAAATTGACGCCAGCTTGGTTTCCTTTCATTATCAGCCAATGATGCAAAAGGCGACCCAAAAGCCGGGGTGGCTAAATACATAAAATTTAAGTTTGGCTGTTGAGCACAGTGCTCCCTGAGAGACACCCACGCTGTGTCTGCTCAAGTTTCAGAGCTTTACTTCTTCCTCTTTTTATTTCCCCCCTCTTCCCCCAGCCAGCCCAAAACAAACATGAGTGAGGTTCAAAGCACACACAAAAAAAACCCAAACCCAACAACTGCTTGTATTTTATAGTTTCTCTTCGCCAACAGCAAACATCCAAAACAACTCTACAGAGATGAACTGACTGAATGCAGAGCAATCTTCCAGAAACCTGGAGAGGAGTCAGCCCTGCGGCATGTCTAACAAGGGCAGCTTATTTCTTATAACCGACCCCCCGTAGTGCCCCTGCCCGGGTGACGGCGCTCGCTGCCTCCTGGGAAGGGGTTTCTCTGCCAGTGGGTGAGCGGGATGTTCCCCGCCAGCGGGAAGAGCACAGCATCCCCGTGTTGCATTACTGCCTGCGCTTGCTTTCCAAGATGCCCTTCCAGTCGTCCGCCCAGGAGAGCAGCCGCCGGCGCGGTGCCTGCAGCTGGAGGTGCCTGTTGTGGCAGCAGGTAAAGAGGACGTGTTCCCAGCTCGGGTTCAGCTCTGCGCCTGAGGAGGGCAGGGGAGGAGAGCTGGAGTCAGCTGGGGGTTTTTCTCCCCAGCTAACAGAAAGTGAGGCAAATGCTTTTCAAACCTCTGATGGTATCCTTGTCATCGAACAGCAAGTCAGCAGATACGACGGTCTTATCTCGGGTTAGAATAATCCGCTCCACAAACTCGGGTCCCAAATGTTTTTCTACCCACTTATACTGCAGAGGCAAGAAATAAGAGATGATAAAGTTCTGCCGCGCTTTCAGTTTGCACATTGCTCAAGTCAGATCAGCCCGACTACAGTAATCTTTTCCCCCATAAACCTACATCTGTGTCTGCAAGTCCCCGCCACGGAGGCTGGCTGTGGCCCAGGACACTGATTTAACCCGTACTTGTAGCATCCTTCAGTCAGCACAGCGGTTGCCGTGCCTAATGGCTGTCGCGTTTGCGAGCAGTGCTGCCTGCCCACCCCGAGCACGTGGATTGTGCCCATATACGTCCTTCCAGTGATCAAGGTCCTCCCCTCCATTCTTGTGCCAGTGGCAAATAGGGCCAATTCCAACGCTATAGCCTCCTCTTAACTCCGCGTTGGCCTCTCAAGATGAGCTGGAGATCTCAGGCTCTGGATTTAGACAGCATAAGGCTTTGTGGGTTGAGGAGCCTCCAGTGTGGAATCCCCTGGGAACATGCCATCCCCATGGGCCACGCTGCGGCAGTTCCTTTGCTGGAGCCCAAGTGTCACAAGCCAGCTCCAAGAGGACGGGGCTCACGTGCCCCACAGTAAGGCTGGCATCAGGCAGCACTCCGAGATTCCCTGTCCTTACGTTATCACTGCGTCCGGGCAGCTGTCCCTCGGGCAGAGGGCCGGCGGGGAACCCTGGCAGCCTGCGCCAGCTACTGTCTTCATAAATGAATGACTCTGACTGGGGTGGTAGGAAACAGCAAGACCTTGCAAAAGCAGCATTAAAAGCAGTAAAATAAATTCTCTCTCCCACCTTTTCCACGATGCAGTGCTCGTATTTCTGGAGAGGACTTGTGCAAATAAAGACTTCAGTGCTGAAAAGAAAGAGCCTTCAATTAGCAGTGAGGGAAAAGTGCGTAAGAGAATGGAACGGGGCTGCAGCGTGCTGTGTCCTTACTCTGGCATGCGGATCATCTCCTGCATAGCTTCAAGGGCTCCTGGAATTGGATCCAACTCTAGGAAGAAGCCAGGCGATTCGTAGACACTGGCTACCTTTGCCTGCAAGAGACAGGAGCACAATGAGCAATGCCCACACTATTACCCGAGCACAAGAGTTGTCCGGTTACCCCATACGCAACAGCCATCAAAGGGACAGGGCTTTAGAGAGCGAGGTGAGGCTTCACACCAGGAGAGGATCACAAAGTTTCTCACCTTTAGGGTTCTGGGAAAAGTCCAGCTCAGGCACACAAGAACGAGAAGTTACTTTCAGTGGTTTGTTGGGAGGGAGGAGGCAGAGCTGCTCCTGAGCTGGCTTTGTTTCTACGAGCCGCTCCGTGCATAGCACCACCACCGCAGCGCTGGTCCACAGCTCGACTCGCTGACGTCTGAGCGAGGAAGAGCTCACCCCTGCCCAGCATGTCTCTCCCTGCTGACTCTTGTGAACATCGAAGGAACAAGTTTGAGGCTTCTGCTCCTCTGTCACATTTGACTGACATTTCCTTACGGCTCAGGAATTTACCAGGGATGCGTGGGCAGACCCACGTGCTGCCCAACAGCCCTCTTTTCCTTCAGAGCAAACAGGGCAATGTGGTGACCACACTAATTACCATCCACAGTGGAGGGGCCGGGTCAGCACACCCACACGTTTGGGGTTAATCCTTTCAGACCGCAACAGCTCAGCAAGAGGGAAGGAAGAGGACAGGAGAGCTAGGAAAACTGCATTGCTCTGCTGCTTTCTACAATTTTCAATCACACATTAAAATAAGATTTGCTAAAGGAGAAGATCCTAACTCCAGCATGGACGGCAGCTCCTCTGTGGTAACATGTTGGTGCAAAGTCTACTCAAAGGGGTGTGAGACCGCAGCAGAGGTGGATCTCTGTGCTGCCCCAAGAACCTTCGGCTTCGTGAGCTGACCTGCGTGCCCCAGCTGAGTTGGTTCTGGTGGTGACACCGGTGGGTCCCACTGGCCGCTCCACTCCTCGGACTCGGCACGCACCACCTCAGCAGTGGACGGAGCATCGTGGTTAAGGGGATCACAGCTTTGTCCCTTTTCCCTCTACACCCGCCCTTGGTGGTAAACCCACCTTCCACACAAGCATGTGGGACACCACACGCATCAGAGAAGTCATTAGTGACAAACAGGTGGGAAAGGAGGTTCTCTCTAAGGTTATAATCATTTTTAAATAAGTAAGAAAGAAGCAAGATTACTGGAGGAACAATGTTTTCCCAAGCTAAAGCGGCCAAAAATGGTGCAAAAAGGTGAAAGGAATTTAATGATATAGTACAGTGGCATCTTTAATCTCTAAAAGGAAAAGTAGGATTTCCGGGGCAATTCCCATGCCTCTAGGTAGGACTGTCTTTCCAGTCTTTTTTTTTTAAATTTATTTATTTACTGATAAGACATTCCTGCACCTTTTACTATTAGGAGGTTCACTGGTGTGAATCCAACTCTGGTTAGTTAATTTTGAAAGCTGCTACCTGGTGACTCTTCAGTGGCCTGTGTGTGAAATCAGAGCATTTCAGTGCAGGTCAGAGCAGACAGCTCCTCTTATCGCACAGCCCATCATGATAATGCACCCACAGCAGCAGCAGCGTTAAGGGCTAAGTTCACTTCCAGGCCCAGGTTTCATTCTCAGGCAGAGAAGTTAAGCTTCCAATATCTCTTCTGCCCTAAGACACATAAATCTCACCTTCCCTGGGGTCATACAGTGAACTTCAGCAGTGCCGAGCTAGCATTTTTCCACAGGCATTGAAGTCTTACGTTCCCCATGCCAGCGAACAATTTGGAAAAACTCAGTTCTTCGTAAGTATTCTTGAAAGGCAGGCTGGCAGCCTCTGCTTAGAAATTGTACCAGACTGCTTTACAGCCCAGCTGATGGTCTTGCTCTGTATCACCAGTGCAACATCAACGTGAAAACCATTTCAATTAAGCAGCAATGAGAAGGCGTCAGCATTGAACAAGTCTCCCAGATGACAGCGCTCACTCAGCCATCCTAATTTACAAATACTCGTAAATCAACAGCCAGAAATTTGGAAGCACTGCCTGATTTCACATGCAAACCAGAAGAGTCTCAGTGAAGATGTGGCAATCAGATCTGCCCAGATCTCTGTTTCTATGCAAAGGCTCGCTAATCCCAGCAACAATTCCCTGGAGCTCTTCCCAAGGAGATTCAATTACCAAGTCAGGGCTTGTGCCTGAAAGCTCTTTTATCCTACAGCAAGACACTAGAATCTGGCAAGTTTCCACTGTGCCACAAAAAAGCCTGGCTTTGCCGGAAAAAGAAATTTGATTTGATGATTCTTAGAATCAAAAGCCATTTGTCAAAAAAAAAAAAAAGTTACTAGAAAAAGAAAGTAAAACCATTTTCTTTCCTCATTCTCATCCCATCGTCGCTGAACCTTTGTTTTAACTTCCATTAGCAAGATCGCTAACAACTGGGGTACAAAATGGGAGGAATTACATCTATTCCTAAGCTTTCCCATCTGCAATACTTAAAATAATTCTAGAAATTCTTGCCACTGCTGGAGATGTCGAATCCTTTTGTGAAGCTGTCTGGGGCCACGTAGCACAACCGAAATGCTCAGGAGATAAATCCCCATCAACAAAATTGCCCCACACAGAGGACCGGATAGACAAGTAGAGTAAAGAAAGTCTTGAGCAAAATATTTTGTAAGTGAAATGGATTTAGAATTAATGATCAACTTAGGATGAACAAAGAAAGAAAAAGCAGAGTAATAGTTCAAGGGGCAGCTGCCCAGCACTAGCAAAGCCTCAACAGCACTTGGTAAGAGGGCAGTGCACAAGCCACCGTCGCAGTGGTTCCCACACCCCGTCACCACACTATCTCAACCCTCTGGCTGGTCGTGGCCAGAGCGAGCAGACCCCTGCCACAAAGAGCTCGGTGTCAGGCTGGTCCCCTCCTTTCAACAGCATCTTTGGTTTGCCTGCAGGGACAGGCAGCCCCACAGACCCCCGGGCACAGGGGGGACGAGCCGCTCTCGGGGTCCAGGTGGCCGGCTCCCGCTGAGGCTTTTCCTGCAGCCCCGGGGCAAGGAGGGACCTTCTCCCGCGGAGATTCTCCTGCATCGAAGACACCCAGTACTGCCACGGCAGAACTAGCAAGGTCACTTTTTTTAACCAGCCGTGGTATTTACATAAAACCTGAAGGAGCTTCAAAACTTTAAAACTTTATTGTTCTGCCAAACGTACCTAAACCAGCCCAGAGATCCAGAGGTTACTGGAGGAGGCAGACACACAACATGAGTACGCAAACCTCATTTCCTTAGGAAGCCAGGCTAATAATGAACAGCAAGATAAGAGCTTTCTGCTGCTGATCTGCGTGGGATTCAAACCGGTTACCTAGTTATTTCATCGACACACCTAAGGTCTGGGAAGGAATGGGATGAGCCTGAACCAAATTAGGGAACGGGAATGCCAGAAATAGAACAGAGCACAACTTTCAGGACAGATCAGATTGTAGCCAGTCCAAATAAGAATGCATAAAAAGCCATGACCCCTTAAATTACTTGCATTTTTTTTTGTCCCAGTATACCCAAATGGGATTCATTTAAGGAATACTTAAGCAATAAATCATGTCAATTTATATAAAATGATAAACAAATCATGCCTACTCCCTATATTTACAAGTTACTAGTTCTGGGAAGTTTCAAGGATCAATAGTCGTCGATTAGAGCTCGGTCAGTTTGGAGCCTGTGGAAATGCTGCCCGGACCCAGTGCTCCCGTCCGTCACAGCAGCGCAGGAACCTGTACCTTGCTACGGAGCAGGAGGGAAATTAATGTGAGTCATCATTTCTTAGCAATAAAGAAACCCTAGAGGCTCAGTACAGGATCTTAAAATTAGGAATGAACTTCTGAGGGAAAGCGTGCGGCACAGCCTGGGTCAGCATCCGTCCTTCGCTTACAGAGCCCCCGACCGGCCTGCGGTAACCTGAAGGAAGCGCAAAGCCTGGATTCACAGTATTTTGATTTTTGCCTTGCAAATGTCTCTGATATTCATTCAGTCATTAGCAAACATTAAAAACAGCAACAATTTGCACAGACGTAGGGTGTACCACAAGCTTTTTACATACTATTCCAGAGCACTTACCTACCATGTGCTTTGCTTGCCGGAGCGTGCAGAGGCAATGACACAGATACAGGGGTTTATTAGCTGTATATATTTTTATATTTCTTGCTACATTAACACTCGTAGAGTGCTCAGAGAGCTTTAGGTGAGTTCTTACTACTGCTGCATAGCAGGAGCAGTTGATGAGTAGGTGCAGAGCAAGCAGAAGGTGGTTCAGCGACCAGTTAACTTCATGACAGAATCACCCGTTGCCCATTCCCGCACGCACACCTCTCTGTAAAGGGCTGGCAATCCCTCGGCAAGAAAAATTATTGCTACATTGCTATTATTACTCTACAAATTAAGGCTGCCAGCATGAAACAACCCTTTGTAGCACCCCCTTAAAGAAAAAACAATAATAAAAAAAAAAAATAAAGCAACCCTCCCCTCTGCTTTGCAGGGCCGCAGTGGGTCGGCAGCGGAGATTTCCTTGGCTCCCAGCAGGGCGCAAGAGGGAAGGAGGGAGAGGTTTATGAAACCAGGACCCCCCTCCCCGTTGGTCGCTGCTCCCTGCCCCCCCCCATCCGCCCCGCACTCACCCCCAGGTCCTCCCGCAGACACCGGTACTGCTCCCGCACCGAGAAGCCCCTCCGCGCCTCCAGCTCCACCCGCAGCTCCCGGG